CGGTGACTTGACTACGAAATCAGAATGGGACAACTCTAAACGAAGAAGGCTAGCTCGTGAGCATTAACAACGGCAACGCGACGAAATGCATATACAAGAGCAGGAATCAAAAAAGAAAATGTTGCAAAAATATCAGAAACTACGAGAAAAAGCACTGAAAGCTCTGAAAAGCACCCAATAAGAATTCGCAAGCCACATTGGAAAACTGAGTGAAGTTTAGTTTAAAAAACTGGAGAGGATTTTTGCGTAATCACTTTTCTTTATGAGCCAACTGCAATACTTCAGTGATTTGCGGAATTCCATTTGGTAAACCGCAAGAGAGGTGAAAACGCAGATGTAAGATGATTAGATTAGAATATATTCAGAAAAAAAAAAGAAACTTTGCGAGAAATACGAAAAGAAAATGCGACTGAAAGAGGAATTAAGAAATCTGTTATGGAAGAGGAAATAATTTGATTGACTCGAAGCATTGTTACACCAAACGAAAACGAAAAACGAAGAACTCAAATTGAATTCATTGCAAAATTGCAAGCAACATCTAGCATCTAGTGATGGGGATAGCTTCAGAGCAAATCAAATTTTGTCGAATGCAAATCCAAACTGCGGAGGATTACTGCTTCGAAACTTTAACGCAATAAAACATGACTTAATACCATTGGCTCAAGTTGCGATCGAATAAACTGCATGAACGGATGCGATTTCGATGTATTATAAAACTCCACAATACGTTTCATAAATCGCAAGCAATAATCACATCACAGCAATCACACAAAAAAAATGTATCACTATCAAAATCGCTCCGATATAACCAACTAACTTCAATCGATATAATCAACAATTCAATCAGAAAATGACTCACCATTCTTGCCAGAATTCGTCGTTGATTGGACCGCATCGTTGTTGAGCTGATTTGCTGACGGTTTGGAATAGGAATCAGCAATATTGATATGATCACTCTTTTTGGATTCGAACGATGCCGTTCCAACGTCAGTTTTGACTGCTGCAGTAAGTATCAAATATCATCCATCACAAAATAATTCGATGCTCATCCATCACAAATAAAGCAACATATTCCTCCCGAGGATTTCTCGAAAAATCCAGAGAATGCAATACTATGACCTAGTAAATGTCGTTAAGACGTAACTAGTAAATATCATCACGTGATTCGTTTTCATAACGACGGCGATACTTCATGGAACCTACTACAATAAGACCTTCATCGGTTGCTATGAGCACACATACTCAACTTACACACACACAATGTGTTCAGATAAAAGACAGAACATACAACTTGATCAATTAGGTGTCTTTCATGCCTCAGCATATCGCTTGGCTACGAAAAACAAAAAACTGTTGAACGTTAATCATTGTTTGCTATAAATCGCCTATAAATGCATCACATCACACACATTTCATGAATCTTTTAAGAGTATTCCAAATTTCTATGTTTTCGATTACATCGAATCCATGCACGCCGGATTTCGTATTCGATTATCCGACTTGCTCTAAATATGCCTTAATCAGAATCATCGAATTATGGGAGAAACTGAAAAATGCAGAAGCCGATTGAAGTATTGAATACAGCATGCAGAATTGGATTCGAGTGAAGTCGATAGAAGATATGGAAAGAAAGTGTGGAATAAAACGCAAATAAAAAATTGGATGACTGAGGTTGTCGGTCGAGCTAACAACAGCAGAAAGTGAAAGAAACGAAAAAATTTTGATTGAAGTTATGAAGAAAAACGAAGTCGAAGATGACAAGATGAAAAGAAGATAAAACAGATCGATCTTCAAGATGAAATTTGTGAAGAATAAAAATCTGAGAACGGATGAAGAAAGTTTCTTTGCTTTCCTTTCTTTTTTTTNTTTTTTTTGTGCAAAACATTCAGTCGTTAAACGCTTACTGGTTGCAATCACACAGAACAATTCCAACTGTCTCTAATGCGAAACGCACTTCAGAGAGTATGCAATCAAACCTATGAGATACCTTGATACGTATAAATCAGTTTTGATTTGAACGCACCGTCATTAGCTTACAATTAGATCAATAAATTAATTCACTCACACGTTTGATGTGCTCATTTACAAAACCTTCTTTTTGTTATGCGGCTAACGTCGGCTAACATCAACCAATGAGAATTTATTTCTTTACGTACAAACCATTTTTAAACCCAAAATTAATGTCAATCTGCTTATTTCTGTTCAACTCAACGAAATTTTTATTACAGTAAACTGTTTCGAAGTTAGAAATAATCCAAACATCTAGAGGCATTAGCTTATATTTAGACGTTACGAAAAGTTTCATAAGCACGGAAGATTAAAAACAACCGCAAAGAGCTCACTTTTAATTGCACAGGTCAAGTGATATTTTTTCTGAGTCCTATTCATAGTGGAAAGAAACTTCCTCATTCGTAGAAAATCGCCCATCTAAGTTTCTAACAATAAGAGAAAACAAACCTCGGAGAATTTTTCAGAATGAGGGCATTTTATCGAGCAAGCCATAAAACAATGAACAATTCTCGGCATAAATTCAAGAGAATATATATTTATAATGAAGGGTCAGCATATGAAAGCACAAATTCATTTTTTGAGAAGCTTTAGCAGCACTTCGTGCAGCATTAATCAATTTGATCAACTTCAATCTTCAACGAACACACAAAAACATCAATGACGCAAAAGCGCCAGTTTTTGTGCATCAGAACAAAAATTATCGTATCCATCATAGAGAATCACTTGGAACTAGCCAAGACGTAATATTCCCACCAACTCATAAGAATATCCCGAATCATCGCACTACCACATCAATCGATCGATCACAATCGATTTCAGATAACCCCGTAATCCTTCTCACAAAAAACATCATCCTGCAACCATCTAGACGACCTAAACTGCACCAGACACCACTTTCTAAACTATCAATAATCAACAGCAGTGATGAACTTTTAAAACTTTTCAATTGTAACAATAATGTTGAACTTTTAAAAACTCACTGCCCTAATTCTTCATCGCACAACTTCAGCACTCCAGCATTTGTTGCATTACACACTCAACGACTCACTGCCAATTGCCAACAAGTTCGAACATTTTATGAGCATTTCAGTCAGATTCCAGTGAGCGATTCGATGAAATAATGCAAAGGGCAAAGAGGTGAATGGCTGATGTGCTTAACCATCAAGTGTGTAACATACAAACGAATAACATCTACCACGAAAAAAAGTGCGGGTTGGTTGACATAAGCTGCTGTTTTTTTAGGGCTTAAGTATTGTTGGCAGGTGATACTCATACTAAATGAAGTTGATAGAGAACAACATCAAGATATTGCACCACCGATTCATCCATTTATGATATAATATGATATGATTTGACATGGTAATTTAAGTATTGATGATACCGATGCTGAAGAATGCAAAATGGCAGCAATAAGGAGAGTTATACCAAGAGAATTGAAAGATCTGATAATGGAGTATGATTGATGACTTTAAAAACGCTAACGTACATCTGAATGACACATCTGAATGCTTCAATTTCCATTTATTTCCCGTCTTCACTTCTGGCGAATAGATGTCAGAAAATGATTTATCAATAGATTAAATGAGACTGAAGCTGCTATACCAACTAGAATCGCAACATAACTATGAACTCTATTCACATGCAATAAAATAGTATTGTTCGCTTCATTACTTACAATTAGGTCATTTAAAAAATCGCCGATTGCCTGATTTTTTTGCATTTGGATGTGATTTCACAGAATTTGTCCATATTTAATTGAATGATAAGATTGAAATATGCAGAATGAGGAGAGAAAAATAGAATTTTGAGGGATTTGATAGTGAAATGAATGCTGAATGTTTGCTTTGGGGATTTATTGGAAACTGGAAAAAAATCGCAAATTTAAGAAAGTTGCGTGCAGTTTTTTTCAAGACGCTTACAGGATTAGCAATAAAGAAAGTGAATTAAAGAACCTGAATTAAGTAAGCAACCAGCAGTAAACACTGCTAGAGTTTAGTTTTGATAAGAACATCGAAACGCTGAATTGACAACTTGCTGGTTCGGTTTGAGTGATCAGTTTGAGGAATTTCAATTGTATTTGATGGACAATCCGTTGTGCACTTTCGAATGTTGGGTACAGAGAGTGAATTGGGAATGACTTTTTTGATACGAAAAACTGACAGCGTTATGACGTGCGCTTGAAAATATCTGTTGATAGCATATATACGGGGAAACGCTTTTTGGAGGAATCACTTTGGAAACAATGAACAAAGTGATTTTGACAGAAGATGAGAGGATATCAAAGAATTGAAAGTACAAAGAATTGCAATGAATGCGAGATGTTTTAGACGTTGGATCGATTTTCAGAACTGAGAAAAAGCTTTCAGTCTTATGCGGTCTTCGCATTGAATTACACTGAAATAAATCTTCGCGCCTGCAGCGAAACATCTTCAAACGATAGAAGTGATCAACTGTTTACGAAATCAAATACACATATGTATGCTATCATATAAGCTGATCGAAGACTTAAATTTATTGCATTCAACTATTGTATCCCGTCTTGACGATGGAACTCGCTATTGAAACTGATGGTTTGTCAAAGAGATTAATGAAGATTATTCATGGCACAGCCACAACTAATTGGATGAAACAGATCACGGAATCCGCAAACAGTAATCATTCATCACTTAATGCAGAAATACAACGTACTAAAGATAGTGATTAGAAATTACTAGGTACCGCATAAAATACCCAAAATGAACATCGATTAAAACTGCATCCCATAAGATGAAACGGACAGAGAATGATCAAAAAACATGCAAAATTCATTTGCATCGATCTAGGATGCATCGAGACTGCCTTTATTCTCAACACGAGTTGCAGATGTTGAAGATGAATGGTTTGTCGCATGAATCGAAAGGACATATGTATGCATCATACGCGTTCAGAGGAGTAAATCAAAAGTAAACAAGGTGAGGAAGAGGTAAAATTGAAATCAATCAGAAAAGAGGTTAAATGAAAGAAGAGAACAACACAGCAAGCAACGAACCGTGCGTCGTGCTATTGGGTCTACGAAGATGATCACGTGCTTGCTCTGGCAGAGGTGGTTTCTGCGGGTAATAACACTCATGACGGTGTTGTTGACTGTTCGACTGAAACGACGTGGACTGAGCCCAATCCGTTGCTGTAGCCGACGACGTCAGGAAAGATGGGGCGCTGAGACGAAGATGTCGCCTTTGTTGTGCGGACTTGTCGTGTCGTCGAAGTTGTTTCGTCATTCGTAAATAATTATTGGAGTTAGCGATTTGCTCCACACAACGCGGTGCACCGTTGTTGCCATCGGCATTCTCCACTCGCTCACCGTTGTCATCCAACTCATCATACGACTTCAGTTGAACGCTGCTCGATGACGATTCGTACGGAATCGGTGATGAGGAGTGGTCATCACTACTGCCGTATCTGGATGCACCACACAGCAAACGATGAGCCGTATTGCGAAATGTTGAAGAGGAGGATGACTGCGGTGGTTGAGACGTTGTTGCGCTCGTTGGTTTCATCGTATACGACGAACCGAGCGTAATTCGAGTGACGGACGGCGGTGACGCACCACCGACTTTACCGTTAAGCACATACGACGGTGGTGTTCTCCTGGCGCACTCATCCTGAACCGCGATTCCGGCCGATAGACGATAAGATGGAGCAGAGGCTGGCAAAACGGTCATCACTGAATGTTGATTATAAGATGAGTGAAGTGATGAGGGGTGAACGGATTCAACTGAAATGGATCAATTCATGCGTTCATCTGTTTGATTGGATGCAAAACGGAAGTGAGGAAAAGTTTAGGAGAAATGTGATAATAATTAACTTAATTGCATCGGAAGGTATTGACAGTGGGAAATTAAGTGACAGAGAAAAATTGTGATGAAAATTGAAAAAGTTCAATTTTTAAAGTCTAAAAACGATGGTTGCAAAATGATTGATAACGATAGGTGCAGGCTGAAGGGTTGGGAAATGGTGAATGCCGCACAATTCTTGAAAGAAGTGTAACTTCCGAATAAAAACGTCGTCATGTGCATAACACCACAAAGGAAATTATCATGCAGAAGAGACTGCAAAACACGTTCATTTGGAAAGAACGAAACGATGGAAAATGAAGCATTTGGCAGAATTGAAAATGAGGCATATATCTGCATGATATTCGCTCTAAGAAAGAAGAATTTTTTGCTAACATACCAAAATCATTAAAACGCTGGAAACCAAAAGTACATCACGTACTGGGAAAGTATTCCAGATAGACAACATTTTAGCCATTATTTCACCGAAACATGTATGACAGTTTTCATTTTTTGCAGCGTTTTCAAAACTGCCAAATTCGACCAAATCAAATGATCGCAGGTTTTTGATTGATATTTTAACTTATTGAAAATGACTCCGAACAGCGATCGCTTCGCTGTCGAATGAGCAATCCCAAAAAAAGCACCATTCGTTAACAAAACAACGCACGTAACACGATCATGTAATTACACAAAAATTGTAATTCTATTATGTAAACCCTAATTATAGGTACGTAATTTACGATCAGTGTCTGTTTGTGTTATCAACTGAAACTAAAACTTTTTCGACAAATTTCGAGTTCTTTTCGAGCCGTGAAGCACTGAGTGGTTTAAGGAACGTCGCACACCTTCTTTCAATATCACTCAATCCGTGATAAATGATTTTTTAACGTGCGAGAAATGTATTCAAACATCGATCTTGCATATAACATACATACCTTGTTGCTGTTTACTGGACTGACTGAGTTGTGAGGTTTGATTATTATTGTGACTGTCACTGTTGTTGATAGTATTTCTTTCGGTGCCCGATATGGCAGCAATGAACGAGGCTTGTCTCGGTGCAAAGCGTCCGAATTTCGACGATGGTCCTGATGTGTTAATGTCTGCTCGTTGCTGACTTGTCACTGTAACTGACCGTTGCTCTGCATTTCGGTAAAAAAATCGCTTTGGATATCGATAATGGTGAATGTGCACTCACCCGGATTATAAAATTGCACTGGAATATTTCCGTTTTCGTCGCTCTCCTCGATGAACTCTTGTTCCCAGTTACTGCCTGCATGTCTTTTGTTTGAATCCTAAACATAATCACTATTGCATAATTCGATAAGCAAGCTAAATTGTTCGATCAAACCACAAAAACTATCCAAAAAAAACATTTCTCACTGATTTCCCAAAGTATTCCCGAACAAATCCTCTAATTCATTCTACGCTCCCAATGAATGAAACGAATGCCAACACCATTAAAGCTTTTATAAGCGCTAACTTTCGTAAAATATCGTCACAATCAATAATAAAACCATTAACACCACATCAAATCAATTCTATCACATTAATCGCAGAATCACAATCGATAAAGGTGACTACTTCGTGAACAATATCCAAACACCAAATCAACCACCTTTTGAGCAGTCGAGTCATTTCTCATCTTGACGATATTATTATCATTCGAAGTTGTTCTGATATTGATTGGTATTATTCCCTTGTTTGAGGCACTAATATTCACGGCTTGATGCGAACCATACTTCTCACCTGATCTATTTTCAATCTCTTTTCTGTCCTTATTATCTTCCTCTTTCATTGTATCCGATGGTTGATTATACTTAAAAAATGAATATTAATCATCTTCATTGATACTGGTTAAAGAAGTATTTTATGGACTTAATACGCATACACATTTGACCCAGATTAATGTAGTGATTCAATAGTTAATTAAGATATTATAACATAATAGTCAAAACTAGAAATTATTTCGAAAAGATGAAACCTCCAAAACAAGTAACTGACTAATCAGTGATTAGCAATCACTGTTCGTTATGAATGATTTGTTGTCGACTAAAACAGATATGAAACGTTCATAAATTTATTAAATTTGCTTGTACAGTGATTGTTTTTACTTCACTTACACTAATGAATGATTCCAGTTTTGGTTAATTTGAATTTTAGAAAAAAGACCAAAAACAAAACTTTGTTGATTCCATAAACTTGTTCAGTCATATAAATTAAAAATAAATTTATAAATGAGTTGACAATGAGATTTTTTTGTTTTGAAAAACAATAATACAACTTCTTCGTAGTTTAAGAGCACAAGATGACATCTTATGCTCTTAAACTATGAAGTTGTATTATTGTTTAAACTATGAATTAATTCCATTTTATTTCGGTGACTTTCTAATCCATTTCCAAATTTTTTCATTAGAAGTTTCCTGAATATGTTCTAAGGTTTTTCAGTTGAAGCTTCTTCCGTCAAAACGTTTCTTCAGAAGTTTCCTCCGTTTCAGTCGTAAGGTCAAAGTTATTTCCGATATCATACTGCTATCGAATTCAAACGTCCTTGTTCACATCTAAGCTAAATCGCTCGTTTAGTTGATATTATATAAATTCTTCAGTAATGAACAGCTAGCTGTCACGTCGTCAAATTTCAATGTTCTTTTTGCCCACGACTAAAACGCGAGCCTCCTACTGACCTCAGGATAGGCGAGTGCGGAACGTCGCCAATTAGGGTTGAAGTTGTGCGGAACGGACGGTGATATGGGGCGTGTTGTGCAATTTCGCATCCACGAATCGGGTGATGCTAGTTTCACAGTGGCCACTGCTCTCTGCGGCTCTGCTCCGCTACGGCCGTTCCGTAGTTCACCACCACTGCCCAATGCTACGTTATTATTGGTGCTGAATGACGGTGATTGAAATTTTTGCAAACGTTTTGCATCTAACGCATTCGGTGCAAGAAATCGCGAGTGTGCTTCTCTGGAGAACCTGAAAATGGAACAGTGAATGGAAATAGCAAAGAATAACATTTTGAGAAGGAAGTTAACTGAATTACGTGTGAATGAATGATATTTGCACAGAACTTGAATTTCTTTTTCAAAAAATATTAGAAAGAGACGACTATGAGTCTAATAGTTGATGTTGGTCTAAGACTGTGGACGTCCTTAGGGTCTACCTTCGACCAAAAATTTATTCTCTATGTATGACTGATTATGAGAATGCATGATAGAACTGGAAAGGACGCTGATGAATTTCACTACTGGTTGCTGTTATGAGCAAACGCTAGCAAGCTAAATCGCCTGTTCAGTTGCTATCATAAATATTCTTCAGCAATGAACAGTAAGCTGTAATATCACTCATATGTCTCGAAATATTGTTTGCGAGCAGCAAAAATGAAAAGTGAACATATCGCAGATGAAACGTAAAATGAATTCCGCCAGGTTGAAACACATGGGATTGTATCAGTTACAAACGGGAAACGATCAGAAATGATTATAGAACGATGGCAAATTTGGAATTATTTCGTGAAAGAAATATACAAAAAGAAAATTTGCTCCTAAAGAATATCTGTGAAATTCTACTCATAAACGTGGCTATTTGGTTTCAACATTTAAGGGCATTTATGAGAAAATGAAATTCGAAAAGAACTTCAACATGCGAATGGTGATTATTAAAATGGCAAGAGCAAACAGATGATAGTTGCCGAGTGGAACAATAATGAAAATATCTATAATTTTCCGTACTTATAGGAGATCGTGATGATGAAATAATGAGGGTGAGAGTGCATGAGGCAGGAAATTCATTAAAGGATAATGATCATATGTATCTCGAGTTCAGATTTTAGGTGATTCAGGATGAAATTCAAATTGAGAATCACTGACGAGTCAATAATACATCGCAGTATTGATGAACTGAATTGAGAGAAAACGAAACGAGACCAAGACGTAAACAAATTAACGCATTATTATGAAGATTTATGAATTATAAAAGTGATTTTGGTTGTTAAGGAATTCGCGAGCGATACGCTGGATACACCTAGATCACATTATAATCATCACTATTACATCTTCTATTATCAGCACTCGTCGATAAACTCTTTTTTTGGTGCACAATGAGGCCATTCACGAATAATCGTAGCAATTAAACCTCATTTTTGAGCGATATCGAAACTGAATAATTCAAAAATTAGATACGACATCGTGTCGTGTGCATTATGAAACAACACGAGAATTGGGGATGTTGAGAAGGCGTGTTTAAAGATAATATAATCACACCATTTTCCGAAAAAAGGTGTTGGTGGTTTTTATACACGCATGAAAAAACCGATGAGGATTTATGGAGTGATCCATACTTAGTTCTGTGATGATTGCAATTCATTATTGAACTAAGTGCATTCGAATACAGTTCACTGGTATAACCAGTTGAAGACGGAAACAATTAAACAAGTGAATTCAAGATTCAATTTAAAAATTTTCACTGAAGATATCTATAAAACGATATATCTACAAATTATGAATATGTCTGATAGTTCGTCGATGAGATGGGAAGACGTATGCAAAATGATATACAATAAAGGATGTGTTAATTCACGAAAGCAAGAGGAATAACTTGGAGATGTAAGATATTCCTTGACAGGAATAATTAGAATCAAGCAAGATTGATTTGTAAAATGACAAATTTATTCGCATCGAGAGAATACGAATGTTCACTACACGTAAACGTCGTATCAAATAGGATTATGTGCCGCGCATGACCTTATATCGCTTTTCAAGTAAGAATATATTTCATAAATGCCATCTTGTTTAAGACGGCTTCGATCAGAGAACGTGAAAACACGAAACAATGGTTGAATAACTGCGCAATACGCGCAGTTATTCAACCATTGTTTCGTGTTTTCAACCATTGTTTCGCGCAGACTCAATGAAATCTCGAGAGGAGTGCGATGGCATAGTAGAGGATTATCAGTTCTGATCGATAATGATGTTTTTCACCTGCTAGCCACATGATAGGGTGGCGGTGGATAACGTCCACCGTAATTGTTCTCATTATAATCGAGTTGATTCGAGAATCGATTCGTCGAGAAATTATCCGTCGATACGGCTGCCCGCAGACGATTCGGCTGGACGGCGTATGGACGATGCACAGTGCCGTTGAACGGTGATAGTATTCGTTGATTTGACATTGCATTCATATTGGGACGGTTATAATTATTATACATACTATTTGATAGTAACGAAGAGGATGAAACTGGTCGATTGTTATCCGTACGATTAATCTGATTTTGATTCATTACCTGAAAGAAGTAAAGATCTATTCACAGCATTCTGATCATTTGATTGATCAAAACAATCAATGAATAAAGTTCATAAATTTTAACAATCGATTTTAATAAATTCATTCATTTACATCTAATGCAACTGTCTTTTGTTCATAACCTAAAATGGTTCTTTTCGAATGTAACATAAAAATTATAACATAAAGCTCGTAAAACATTAAATTTGACGTTTTTTACGACTACCCAAAATTTTCCACTAATAAATTGATAAGAACATAGAATTTTCAATCAATGTTGCGAATGGGTTAGCAGGTAAAACGAATGGAGATAGAGATGAGAACAAACAATTGACAAATTCGGTTGATAAACCCTGTGAGAATCAATAAACCGATCAGATGAACGATGTGGATGATAATAAACACAAGCAGCATAAAAAATTGATGGACTGATAAAAATTTATCGACAAACGAACCAAGTTCACTTCGTGACGAAATCAAACAACGAATGTGAACAACATAAACGAATCAAGCAAAAAACGCTGAAAGGGAGAAAGGAAATGAAGGAGGTGAACGATAGCGTTACCTTTGAGAAATTGCTCGTGGCAGTGTAACGAGACGGTAAGCTATCGTTCAAACGAGTGTTTGAAACTGAACTCATCAACGGTGAAGTTGAGCTCGAACCCGACGCTATGTTAGCACCTCTAATCACTGCACTCGAATGCACCGAGGAACCGGCAGTGGTCAACCACGAACGACCATCACCATATAAAGACGCTATGCGGCGTTGAGGTGCCTGCAGGCAAACAATTATAACACAAATCTTATCACGATGCATCAATAAGTCCACATTTGCAATCTCTTTCTACAGATATCCTCTAGATTCTCGTGCAAATCATTCTTAGTTCATTTGATTGACGATAGATTTTGTGTCGATTAGATAACATTCCAAATGTTACAAAACAATAACAAAAAGCGCACAACGTTCTCCGTAATTAGATATAATTAGATATGGTTCAAAATAAACACATCCCTTCATTCAATCTAATATCACGTTCAAGCACTGCTTCAAGCAAACAACGCTAATCGATGCGACAATCATTTTGCCGATAGAAATTCGATCTGTGCGAAGTTTGTGAAACAATGAGTCAGTGCGATTTTGAATGAGAACCTTCTCATTGAGAGTTCTGCTCGAATGTCATACACTTTCATGAAATGGTTGCAAAAACACTAAATTACATTGGTTTGATTAGCTGCTATTGCTACTGGAACAGCAATAATTTCGTTTTTTACAAAAAAAGCTGAGAGTTGAGATGATGGTAACAAAACATAACACTCTTCTTGGACGAGCATCAGGGAAGAAACCAGAATAGGAAATTCGTCAGAAACATAAGCCGGAGGAGCTGAGAGACCAATTAACAACCGGAATTCTCGAAAGAGCGGAATCGAGAGGCACACTCCTAATGTGCGAATGTTACATTTCGTTAACGACTGACCTTGGACGGTTGTCGCTAGTAAACCACAAAACCAAAGAGATGCTCACAGACCATAAAATTCGCAGTTTTGTGTTAAACTAGCAACAGCACTCTACGCAAATAATGATGGAATTAGCTTATAGACGAAAAATATCGGTAATAATTTATTATTATTTATTGAATTGATTAAGTGATCTGAATGCATTTTATCGAATTTTAATTGATCAAGATTAATCATCAAATGATTCGATTCACACTGATGCATGTTTTTATGATTCAATTCGATGATACGCATGCATATTTATGAGCTTTTACAAGCGTTTTTATTTGAGCCTTTCAAGGAGAATAGTAAATGTGGTGGGTGCATGGCGTCTGTTTGGAACAGGAAGCGCTGACGCCGTGAAAATGGGTGAATGGGTGGATTTCGAGGTTGTGATTAAATATAATGCATACATACATCATGATTTGGATGAAGTAACAGCAATTTTGTTTAAAGGAAATGAGAAAGAGACAAGGGCTGAGCTTGGTGATTTGAAGGAACTGAAAAATGTAATCTGAAAAGAAATACGAGACAAAGACCGGAACACAGGCTGATCACAGCATCAGATATGAGATAAACGTAAGGAAAGCGTTGAATTCACGAAAAGTATTACAATTGCGAAATTATTTGAATGATTATTGATGAAATCCAAATCAGATAGCGGCACGAACTATGAAATCAACATCGATAAAGTTATAAAACCTTCCCTCTTCAGTAAAACTATCGCAAATATCTATTACTACAATAACGTTATAATCAAAGAGTCTACTCGATTTGGTATTCAAATTTCGTTTTACACAATAAATGTATTGACCGATTGGTTGATCTAACATAAGCAGTTTTAAAAGATTAGATTCATTCGATGCAATGTGGAATAGTCAAATTAATTAGTGATTTATTAGACTCATGCAATAAGTGACGAAAATTGGATAAATAAAGCGATAAGGTTACCTGATAAATTTGTGGTGAGTTGAGATGAGGAGTATAAATTAGACTGCTGTTATTTTGGTTGTCGATCGCATTGTTATGATTGGATGTGGATGTTCTTGAACTGTTAGAAATGTGACGATCTGAACGCGAGCTGCTGATCGATAGTGAAGGTGTTTTGGACTGTTGCTCTGTCGCCGATGTTGAATTCGATCCAGATGATGAGCAGCCACTCACTATCATAACACGTAACTCGGTCCCACTGAAACTTCGTATTACCAATCACTCTCGTCAGCAAAGACCTTATCAGTACAACGAGCTACTTTTTAATATTATCAGCTCACGATAAACTTATCATTATCATGACAGATGGAAATAATAGGAGTATCAGTGGAACCAACTCGATGCGTCACGTTATGTGCGAGAGGAATGTGAACTATTCAAAACAGTATTGAAAACGAGTACACCCTCGTTAATAATGATCATATACGCACATCGAACGTAAACTTCAGTATTATCCTCTATTCTTGTGAGTGATATATATCGTTCGAGTGCAACTCAATCGATACTCAATTTAATTCATTCGTTGTTTCAAATATTCTACTATTGCAAGTCATTTTTCATGAAAAAATTACTGTTAATTTTGCAGAGAACAATGGTTGTATTATCCTACTCACAAACAGTAATTGTATCATACAGCACGTTAAACTCAATCAACTATATAGAATCGCATTCATGTAACTGTATCTGAGTATATTTGGAATCATTGGCAAATTGTTATTTTCTCATATGTGGTCCATGAAATTTCACGGTGTTTTGTACCATCATGAAATGATTGACGACTGAAGATGATGATTCACAAAAAACCGAAGTGAAGGCGATACTTAATAGAGCAAACCTTGAAACCAAAATAACAATATTCATTTAACAAGTAAAATGAATGCGAATAAAATATGAGTCATATGTGACAAATTAACAATTTATCAATGATTGTAAATAACTCAGATAATCATTAAAATCTGTTACTTTCCGCTCAAGCTGTCCAAAACGATTACAAACGACACTCACATGGTTACCAAACGATCGCTCGCTCCTCAACATCAAATCAGCAATGAATAATGAATAAAAATGAATAATATTTCTGTGATACATTTAACTGATCAATACAGTAGATTTACTTTTATATTCGTTAAGGCAGATCAAATTCAAAGCTTTTTGGATTAGAGAAATCTAAAATTGTTTTTGTAGATATTACGCCTTTATTACTACGAACCAACTACAGTTTAGCAATGAGTGATGTACTGAATCAAATGATAAGGATTCAGATGATAAGGATGAAGACGCAAAACTCATGATTAATGGAATAATCAATGAATCGAAGATTGATAAATGAAAGCTTTCTAGGATCAACCTTATCATTGCGCAACCAAATTTTCGAGCAAAACGATCGATCTGTCTTCAATTCATGAACACTTCCACTCATTCACAAAAATCGACCATTTATTTGAAGGTGATTCATTCAAACGGATTCGTGCACATCCATAAGGAATCAAAGCGAATACAACGTAAACATAAAAAACCAACCTTGCTGAATGTCTACGTGCAAGAAAAATATCTCTTCCTGTCGCGATAATTGATGCTGATGAAACCAACTCATAATCATTTCATTACCAAAAAAGTGCCAAAATGCATTTGCGATGACAAATATCAATGTTTCGTGGAATTAAATACGGAATAATAATTTGCCGAATATAAAGAAACAATCTCGATGATGAACTACTGATCATCATATGATCAAATTGATCGAATAAGTAAACTACTGTTAACGAAGAAAAATTTCTAGGCTTCCAAAGAGAATAAGTTCACCAATTGTTAGCAGTTTATCAGTTGCTATCACTGGGGTATAAATGAGTGATAGATGAAAACAGTTAAGTGAACGCAAGCACATAGCTCGATCGTATATGCTCACCCAACATCGTCATCAGCATCACAAAACATTCTGACGTTAAAGTTTGAAGCAATGAACAAATGACTGGATATTCATTTTTTTAACAATGAAAGTCAAACGTATTTTACGAAGAACTTTTCTCGAGAAAAAAATCGCTCAGAAGTCATAAAAGTGGAACGAAGTACCTAGCTCAACCAATCTCAACGACAAAATACCTCTATCGTTCTATTTTTTTCAACACGGTAAGGAGAGGAGTCAGATGTTGAACTAAATATCAATTAATTTCATTGAGAAAAACACCTTCAACAGCTGTTTTCATCTCCCAGCTACTTTTATTTTCGAATTCGTTTTGCAGTTTTTGTTTTCAGTGAAAAGTTTCGACAGGAAAGCGAATTATTTATTGAAGACACTGCCGATGCGATGATTTATTTGAGATTTTCCGACAATATAAATAATGTTCACGTCGATGCTTTCTCTCAACTCATTATTGTGTTTTGAATCTCATCATTTCAACTGACTGATTGACGTCAATACAAAAACGTCAAAAGGAGATCACTGCTAACATTCGAAAATGAACGGAATTGATGGAACAAATCAAAGTTTCATTTGAACATCGAATCAGAGCGTGTTTCTTACGTTGTTCATTCATTCACTGCTTCATTTCGAGAAATTATTGTTCGCACTTGGTCAGTTTCAGCAAAGTATTTGAAGTATAAAGTTTGAGGTGAACAAATTTGAGAGTGAATTTAGAGGATGGTGGTATACGTTGATGCTTTGATGAGTGTGTGGTTTTGTCATAGCACAGGAATTTTTTGTTGGTCGAATTCACTGCTTATCAGCTGACTGACTGTGAGTGATAATGAAATCAACTCGTACACGAAACTGCTATCTTTCACGAAACACTCAACAATCATAGCACTCATCAAACAATATCTTTTGTTTACACCATCATAATTTTCATTTGTTATTAATAATAACACTTTCAGCTTCATTATTCGTGTTGCCGTGTTCTCTTCAAAGCGAAACTGTGTAAATTTTTCGATAATAACTGATCAATTCTCATCAAATATAATGAACTACCGTTGAGAATCGTAAATGTGCGCACTTCAATTGATAGACAACAAGTAGCAGTAAAAATAGCAGTGCATTATGAAAAGTTTCTACTTAATAGCGCATTAATAGCCTGAATAAAAGGTGCGAGTGTGACTCGTTCGCTATGTTATTATGCTAAAATGTGTGTAAACGATTAAATGATACTACTGCAAAAAACAAGTTTTGACTGCATTATAAAAACTATAAAACTCACAAAGTGTGGAAAATGTTCACCTTTAATACTCAACGTGCAACATTCACTGTGTATACAATTGTATAAAATGAATTAGTGGTTGAAGGTGATAAAAGACGGTCAAATACTCTTGATACGTTACTTGTTTATTGGACTAATTTCCTGAACGATTATTCGAAAAGCTCATTTTGCCGACTTTACATAGAATATTATCGCAATTTGCAGACAGATTTGAAACATGTCATTCAAGTCAAATGAGGGAAAATTTTTTAAAGCGACAAATGCGTGCAAGTTTTGTGTGTTTAGTGAGATTGAGATACAGCTAACTGTTTCATATAGTATGTGCTCGTTGAAGCCATCACAAAGTGAAATTTTTTTCACTTCGAAAAAAACATTCATAAAACGAGCGCCGTTCAATGATCGTCACGAATTTTTATCGTTTTCACAAAAAGTTTTCTCAACAAATTGTTCCATAAAGTGCTGACAGATGATTCATCATTTCCATATGACTTCATTCGAACGCATACAAAAAAGCAAACAAACAAAATGGCGAAATGATATATTCATTATTTTAGAATGCAAACAAACAAAAAGTTCTGGCTAATCCTACATGAAACAGTCACCTCTCAGCAAAGATTACCGGCAATTCCTTACCGAACAATCAATCCAAGAATAGAACTGTAACGATAAGTAATAAAAGACAAAACACATCGCTGAAATTCACTGAGCATTGGGGTGACTTAGCAATATATCTGTACTAAGAATAAGAATTTCAGCATTCAAAAACACTGCTGAATCAAAAAAACGCCAAACAGAAATGTCGCATGAAAGATTTTGCGCATGCCAGAAATATCTTGAATTGAACGTACACCGAAACACGTGCAGAAAACTGGGAAAGTAATTATTCTGGTGAGATAATCCTCGTAAACACATCAAGGAAACAGATCGCCTAGAGCATGAAAACAGCTCAATCTTTTAATGATAACCAAAATAATACTGGTAGTAAGTAACAACGAAACAACCAAGAAACCTGGAATGACTAAAAAATTTTGTATGATCTCAACAATCTGTTCAAAATGTTCTTTGCATATGTGCGCATGCACAAACAAATGTGTTGTGCACATGTGCTGTGAGGAGCGTTTTGTATCGATGAAAGGTTTATGCGTGTTACTGTTGCGATTACACAATACTATTATCCGCACATGTGCTGCTGCTGCCATTCACTTCCCTATCAAGGACAAATTTACAACAGTGCATTTAGCCATGTCCGAAATTCCTTTCATAATACTACCTCTATCGCCTATGCAAACTTATAGATTAATTGATGTGATCATATGCAGAACGAACGTCCAACAAGTTCGTTCCATTAACCAAAGATTAGAGAACACTGAATAAATCGGAAGTGAACGCAGCTGAAATGTTCATTAATGGACTAACAATCAATCATTGTTTTCGATACATACCAATGTTATTTTTTAAAATAGGTGTTTGATCTGATAGCACCGATGGATGCCCGATAGAAAACCTCTTGATGATAGGATTAATTTCCTGTTTGTATTCTGTTTTTTCATCAACATTTATCAGATTATCAGAGAACAGGGAATCCTGGCCATGTGGATTGTTGGAGAGGTAAAATGGCTGTTTGAATAGGGAATTAAAGTGAGAGAGCGTGAGAAACACTCATATAAACTTTTGCAAAATTTACAAAATGCAATTTACGAAAAATTTAAATTGTCAACTGAATCTTCCACGTTTGTAAAATCGTGCGGTGACTAATGGAATTTTGTATCCAACTGCATACGGCGCGAAATATCGATAAAAACGATAAGCAATTGTGTTGTTACTCATGCTCTTATCATATTCTTAAACCTTATCAATGCACGCACCATTCTCATGTACACACACAATTTGTTTACGCATTATTTCATTCGATTTTCTCCATTCACCATCTTTTGACTATTCTCTGATTCAGATGAATTGTTTTGGATATTTTCATCGTTGCAAAATGCG